CACCGCACCGTTCTGTGGCACCACCGTCTTGGCCACCCGTCGATCCCTCGCCTTCGTGGCATGCTCAGTCACGGACTAGTCACAGGTCTCCCACGCACCTTCCCGTCGCTCCCTCTCTCGCTTGCCCCTCCTTGCTCTCCGTGCGTCGCCGGTCGCTTACGCGCCACTCCCCACTCCTCCTCCCTTCGTCCGGCCACCGCTCCCTTCGAGACTCTCCACTTGGACGTCTGGGGCCCTGCCCCGACGCAGGGGTCTGGGAGGGAGCGTTACTTTCTGGTGGTCGTCGACGACTTCTCCAGGTACACCACAGTGTTCCCTCTTGCGAAGAAGTCCGAGGTGACTGCTACGCTGATCAGGTGGCTTCTAGCCACTGAGGGCACTCGTGGTCGTCGAGTCAGTTGTCTCCACTCCGACCGTGGGGGCGAGTTTCGCTCCGGCATTCTCGGCGGATTCTGCGGCGAACAGGGCATCACCCAGTCCTGGACTCTGCCAGAGTCCCCACAGCAGAATGGGGTTGCTGAGCGCCGCATAGGCTTGGTCATGGACATCGCCCGCACGTCCATGATCCATGCCCGTGCGCCCCATTTTCTGTGGCCCCACGCGGTTCGCTACGCCGCACACCAGCTGAACCTCCAGCCGCGTGTCTCGCGGCCCGAGGCTTCACCGACCAGTCTTTGGACTGGTTCCCCTGGTGTCGGGTCGGCCTTTCGAGTCTGGGGCTGCCTTGCGCAGGTCCGCGACACCTCTGCGGACAAGCTCTCGGCACGCGCCATTCCCTGTGTCTTCCTTGGTTTCCCGGTAGACTCGGCCGACTGGTCCTTCTACCACCCGCCCCTCCACCAGTTCCTAGACTCCCGTGACGTCCGGTTTGACGAGTCCGTGTCCTACTACACCCGGTACCCTTGTCGAGGTCTCCCGGTACCCCCTCCCCCTCTTTTCCTCGCACCCTCTCCTCCTCCTGCTCCCGCTCCTCCGGTACCCCTGCCCCCCCCTGGTCCTGCCCCGTCTGGTGTGTCTCACGCTACCCCTCTACCCTCGGTCGCGCGTCAGGTAGCGTCTCCCTCCCCGCAGTCCTCCTCACAGCCCCCTCAGCAGCCTTCGGCGCTTCCGCGACAGGTTCCTGTGGACTCGGTTGGTGCTGGAGCTGGAGGTGCTGGCGCAGGCGGCGCTAGCTCTGGGGGTGCTGGAGCTGGAGGTGCTGGCGCAGGTGGCGCTGGCTCTGGGGGTGCTGGAGCTGGAGGTACTGGCACTAGAGGTGCTAGTTCTGGGGGTGCTGGAGTTGGAGGTGCTGGCGCTGGCGGTGCTAGTTCTGGGGGAGCTGAGTCTGAGGAGACTGACGCTGGAGGCCCTGGTTCTGCGGAGTCCACTCCGCCTCCCCACCGCCACGACACGCGTCTCCAGGCTGCCCGTCGGCGTGAGCGTGAGGAGCAGGAGCGGCTGGAGAGGGAGCGGCAGGAGCTGCGGGTGCTGGACCTTCTGGAGCAGCAGCGCCAGCAGCAGCAGCAGCAGCAGCAACAGCAGCAGCAGCAGCCGCAGCAGCAGCAGCCGCAGCCGCAGCCGCAGCCGCAGCAGCAGCAGCAGCAGCCGCCTCCGCAGCTTCCTCTTGAGCGGCAGTTGTTCCCACCTGTGAGTGGCCTGCGGGCCCTTGGCCTTTCCTCCTCTCCTCCTGTCCGCTCCCAGTCTCCTCCTGTGTTTGTTTCTCCGTTGCCTCCTCCTGACGACCGTCCGGCGGTCTGGTCTTCTCCTCCTCCACAGTCTCCTCCTCCTTCTGTCCGTCGCGACTTGGTCACCCGTTGTTCGCCGCGTGCTCGTCACTCGTCCCCTGTTACTGACCTCCACACTGCCCTCCTTTGTTCGTCTCGTCGTCGTTCTCCTTCTCCTGAGTCCGTTCTCCCGTCTCCTCCTCCGTCCTCTCTCCCTTCCCTCCCCACTCCTATCACCGACTACTACCGCGCTGTTCGTCCTGTTGCCGCACGTGTCCTCGCCACTCTTGTCACCGACTCTCGTTTCCCTCCGTCGTCGGTCTCTACTCTCACTGCCGCTGTCGCTGAGTTTGCTGCCGCCAGCCGCCTTGACTACGCCACCCGTGTGGTGCCAGCTCCTCCCTACCGTCCTCTGTCCGTCGGGGGTGAGTTTGCCCTTGGCTGTGACGTCCTAGAGGACAGAGAGTCTGAGCTGGAGTACTGGGCAGCCGCTTCTCCCTCTGTGTGTGCCATGCTGCTCTCCCCTGAGGGAGACCCCGACGCCCTTGACATACCGACTCCTCGCACTTACCGCGAGGCAGTGTCAGGGGCGTGGGCCTCTCAGTGGAAAGCGGCTATGGACTCAGAGTTGGCGTCTTGGAGATCCACAGGCACCTACGTCGACGCAGTTCCCCCTCCCAGGGCGAACGTAGTCGATGGCATGTGGCTCTTCAAGGTGAAGCGGCCGCCTGGAGCACCGCCAATGTTCAAGGCGCGCTACGTGGCTAGGGGCTTCAGTCAGCGTGAGGGAGTTGACTTCTTCCAGACCTTCGCCCCGACCCCGAAGATGACTACTCTTCGGGTGTTACTCCACATAGCAGCGCAGCGAGACTACGAGCTGCACTCCCTCGACTTCTCCACTGCGTTCCTCCAGGGCCGACTGCACGAGGAGATCTGGCTGCGCCGTCCTCCTGGTTTCACTGACACCTTCCCACCAGGGACCCAGTGGAGCCTGAGGCGACCAGTCTACGGTCTCCGCCAGTCGCCCCGTGAGTGGCACGACACTCTTCGCTCCACGCTTCGTGACCTTGGGTTCAGCCCGTCCTCCGCCGACCCGTCGCTGTTTGTTCGAGCGGGTTCTACTCCTTTCTTTATCCTTGTCTACGTCGACGACTTGGTGTTTGCTACAGCAGACAGGGCAGCCCTGGCTCAGGTGAAGTTCGAACTGCAGAAGAGACACAAGTGCACTGACCTGGGTGAGCTGCAGCGTTACCTTGGCTTGCAGATCACCCGGGACAGAGCCGCTCGCACCATCACACTGACGCAGTCACACATGGTGCAGCAGGTCCTTCGGCGGTTCGACTTCCAGTTCTCCACCACACAGCCCACTCCTCTTGCTGTTGACCACAGACTCACTGGCCCCTTTCCCGACGAGCCTTTTGAGTCCAGTGGTCCCTACGCAGAGCTGGTGGGCTGCCTCATGTACCTGATGACTTGTACTCGGCCGGACCTCGCCTTTCCTCTCAGCGTCCTCTCTCGCTTTGTTGCGACTGGGAGACACCGTCCTGTCCACTGGACAGCTGCTGTGAGGGTGGCGAAGTACCTGGCGACTACATCAGGCATGGGGCTTGTGCTTGGAGGGACTCAGCCAGTGGCGTTGACTGGGCACTGCGACTCTTCCTACGCTGACGACGTGGAGACTCAGCGTTCGACTCAGGGTTACTGCTTCAGTCTGGGAGCTGGTGCTGTGTCGTGGAGGTCTACTCGGTCGTCGTCTGTGGCTACTTCCAGTGCAGAGGCAGAGATCTACGCTGGTGCCATGGCGGCACAGGAGCTTCGTTGGTTGACCTTCTTGCTCACCGACCTTGGTGAGCGGCCTCGTTCTGCACCGACCTTGTATGCTGACAACAAGGCCATGATCCTCCTGTGTCGAGAGCCGCGACTGGAGAGCAGAGTAAAGCATATTGACGTGAGGTACTTCCTCCTGCGAGAGCTGCAGCGACGCGGCCAGGCACGCCTGGACTTTGTGGCCTCAGAGGCCAACACTGCAGACGTCTTCACCAAGGCCTTGGCGCCTGGTGATCACCACAGGTTCTGTGTGCAGTTGGGGCTTGTTGAGGTAGGCCCCCGGTTGCTGTAGTCTTGTTGCTTGCTCTGCTTGTTGTGTTTTCATATTTATATCCTAGTGAACTGTTGAACTGGCCTTGTGGCCACTTGCTTGTGCTCGGAATTTGTGTGGTGTCCTTGAGCTCCACCCTGAGCTTGTCTTGCCTTGACTGGTCTTGTGACCGTTTGTTTTCACCTTGCTTGCCCTGGTGTCCCTCACTTAGCCTATGGGGGTGTGTCAAATGTTAATGTTATGATAGGCTGCAGTGAGGCACTCCCTAAAGGGTACAACATTTGTAGGACTCCTATTTGTATGCTTGCAAACCCTAATTCCAATCATTCCGTTGCATGTAGACTTTGAGAAACCGTATTGAGGCAACCAGGGTTGAACGTACCTAACCGCCGCGCAAACAGAGGGTGCACGAAAACATTGCGGGCAGGTTGCACTAGCGAGACTTGATGTGACTGGTGCAATCAAAATTTCATCAAATTTTGGCCACTAAGACTGACACAGTGACTGTTGGGTCTACCCGAAATACTGTTGGCACGGTTGGGTCCCAAAAGCAGGCGAGTGGTACATTTGCAGGTTGCCTGCTAGGTACCCAACCGGCCAAGTTGACAGCCCCGGTTGACCTGACCAGTCAGGTTGAGTCGACTTTTGGAGGCAACCGGGGCCTAACACCAAAATAAGGGGTACGTAACACGCTCTAAAGACTACAAAAATTAGCTGCTTGACACCTCCACTAAACTGCTACCTTCAACCTTTTCTCATTCCTTTGCCCTCCAAACCATTTCTTTCCGTCAGCCTTCTCTTCGCTTCGCTCCCCCTCGTCCCTTCCGCTCGTCGCTCCTGCATGCTTTTCCCAAGCTGAGCCTGGGCTCTCACGATCAGCTTCTGTGATCTTAACGAGGGACATCATCAACATCACATCACATCAGACCTTCCGTTCGCCCTAGGACCGGTCCCGAGAGTTTCGCGAATGTACCGAACTGAAGCCGCAAGCACTGGCGCAAGATCCGGCGCGAACCTACTGGCGAACCAATCCTGAGTCTTAAAACTTGGGTGTGTTTTTATATTGATGGACACGTGAGGATCAACAAACACTTCGGAGGGGTTCCGCCATTGTCCCCACCACAGGGGTCCATGGCTCCACTGAATGTCGCACGACCAAGCCTTCGGTAACATACGGGTCCGTGTCAATTAAATCGCGAATGACTTCTTCGCGATTGTTCGCACGGACGATCAGCAATGCGCCTGTGGGAGGGTTACCAGTCGCAGCACCTGCGACCATTTTCCCTTCTGCGGCCAGCGACCGGCACAGCTGCACATGCTCCTCGCGATATTTCTCGCGACGGGTTACAATGTCCGGCACGTATTCGTAAATCACCGCGAACAGCTGCTGCTGTTGCTCTGCAGGAACGCTGCTGCTGCTGGTGCTGCTGCTGCTGGCCGCACATTTCGTTGTGAGTGCGACGCGCGGAGGCGAGGAGAGGTGCGCAAGCGAGCGACGGAATGGCAGCGGTCGGCCGTGGTGGAGGGAGAAGCGGCAGGCAATGGCGGTGGTGGCTTGGGAGACGATAAATGCCGTCATGTCTGCACTAGATCTGCAGGGATTCCAATAGAAGCAATGGCAGTCTAGACTGTACTAGACCACGAGAATATACGACAGCAACTCAATCACAATTCGCACAGCTTGGAATTTGGATCTGATCTACTGGCACCCAAGGGGAGGAGATAACGCAGGAAGGGTTTGTTCGCGGCACATGCATACGCATTAGCCACATTGCCATTGTACACTTCAATAGGCTCGCAATGTTATCTGCATGCACATGCTTTCGCGCCCAATTCAGCAGAAGCCAATCATCAGCCTCAAACGAGTACAGTAACCGTAAGAAAACATATCGATGTATCTAGGACGGAATGTCATATCCCTGAGCAACACTAGGTGATTGTCCAAGCTTGCTTAGCTTCCCAGGCTTTTTTGCACCATCCCCCATGCCAAGCGCAGCACCACCACCACCACCACCACCACCACCACCACCACTACCACCACCACCACCACTCCCAACAGATGACTTCTTTCCTCTATGTGCCTCCTCCACACTTCTGTCCCCATCTTCGCCCACCTTCCCTTCCCCCTCCCCACCACTCGTGTATTCCCCTTCCCCAGCTGCCTCCATTGCTGCTCTGTTCTTCTCCAAAGCTGCTGCCACCTCCTTAGGCATATATTTCTAAGGTAGAAAAAAGGGGGGGGGGGGGGGGGAGAGAGCAGAGGGGAAAAATTTGGTGGGGATGTTGGGATCAAGAAACGCCCCAAGCCCTTCCAAGAGCTGCTGCCACCTCCTTAGGCATGTATTTCAAAGGTAAGAAAAAAAGAGGGGGGGGGAGGGTGGGGGGGAGGGGGAGAGGGTAGGGGGAGGGGGGATGTTGAGATCAAGGGACGCCCCAAGCCCTTCCCAGAGCTGCTGCCACTCCTTGGGCATAATTTTCTAAGGTAGACAAAAGGAGGGGGAAAGGGCGGGAGGAGGGGTAGAGGGTGGGGCAGGAAAATGGTGGGAATGTTGAGATCAAGAAACGTTCTACGTCCTTTCGAGAGCTCCTGCCACCTCCTTATGTATTTATTTCCACGGTAGAAGGAAAGGGGGGGGGGGAGGGTGGGGGAATGTTGGGATCAAGAAACGTCCCACAAACTCTTTCCAGAGCTGCTGCCAGTCCTTGGGCATAAATTTCTATGGTAGGAGGAAAGGAGGAGAAAAAGGGTGGGGGGAGGGGGGAGAAAAAGGGGGGGGGAGGGGGGAGAAAAAGGGTGGGGGGAGGGGGGAGAGGGTAGGGCGGGAATTTGGTGGAGATGTTGAGATCAAGGGAGGGACGTCCCATGAACTCTTTCCAGAGAAGCTTTTGAGACTTCTCAAAACCGAATGTTAAGATTAAGGGACGTCCCACAAACTCTTCCCAGAGCTGCTGCCACCTCCTTATGCATGTATTTCTATTGTAGGAGGAGGGGAGGGGTGGAGGGAGGGCGGGGGAAGGAGAGAGTGAGGGACACGTCATCTTGCTCAGCGGACCACATTAAACACCCACAATGCTTGAGAGGAAGAGAAAAATGTGGAAAAAAAGTAAGGAGGAGAAAAAAAAACACACACACACACACACACACACACACACACACACACACACACACACACACACACACACACACACACACACACATTAGGCACCTGATTCAGATACAGTGACAAAGAGAGCACATTACTGTGACTAACCTTAGTTATACCATGGCTTGACCACAACTAGAAACAACCTCAACATTCATCCAGCACTCACCTCATCATGCTTTGCCAGCACTTCAGTCGCAGCAAAGAAGTAACCCACACTCCGCGCACTCGCACTCACATCCTCCCACTCCTCCGCCCCCTTCTCCCCACCGCCCTCACCCTCCCCTCTCGCTCCCCCCTCCCCAATCCCTCTCTCCTCCACTACCGCACCCTCCGCCTCTGCAACCCCCAGCACACTCGTCCCCCTCCCAGAAAATCCGCTGCCGCTGCTGCCACTGCTGCTGCTGGTGGCACTGCCGATGCTGCTGGCTGTGCTCCCAGCGGTGAAAGCAGCGGTGTTGGCTTGGCTGAGTGGCCGCAGAAAGCCCTCCGCCACCACGGAGTGGCCCTCCCTGAACAGGTCCGGCAACGCACCCCTGTACCGGACCAGGATCTGGTGTCCAAAGGTGGGGGATTGGTGGGGGAAGTGGGTGGAGGAATGGAAAAATGGGTGGGGTGAAGCATTTAACGGAGCAGCACTGTTGGCTTGGCTGAGAGGCCGTAGGAGCCTGTCTGCCACCACGGCGTGGCCCTTCCTGAACAGATCTGGCAAGGCACCCCTGTAGCAGACCAGGATCCGCAGTGAGGGTGGTTGGGGGGGGGGGAGAGGAGGGAGAAAAAGGGGTTTGATCTGAATCCAAGCAAGCACTGATGTTGCCTCGGCTGAGTGGCCGCAAGAACCACCCTGCCACCATGGGGTGGCCTCCTTGGACGGATTCAGCACGGCACCCCATGGTGGCAGCATGGGTACCGGACCAAAATCTGGTGTAAAGGAGAAAGGACAGAAGGGATGAGGTGGGCGCCCATGGAAGCAGCAACGTGGCCTTGGCTCAGCAGCCGCAGGAACCCCTCCGCCACCACAGAGCGGCCCTCGCTGAACAGATATGGTGACTTTAAGTCGACTCAAAGAATGGTCTAGTTTTGAGGCGCCTTGTTTTGAGTCGACTCAAAAGTCACCTCAGCGGCTGCAGGAACCCCTCCACCACCACAGAGCGGCCCTCGCTGAACAGATCTGGCAGGGCGCCAGTGTCTGTACCTCGGGGATCTGCAGTGAAAGGGGCGGGGCGGGGGTGGGGTCTAGTTTTGAGGCGCCTTGTATTGAGTCGAGTCCACTCAAAACACGGCTCTAAGAAAAATTGTTGTGAGTTGACTCAAAGCACGGTCTTGTTTTGAGCTGACTCAAAGCACGGTCTTGTTTTGAGCTGACTCAAAGCACGGTCTTGTTCTGAGCTGACTCAAAGCACGGTCTTGTTTTGAGCTGACTCAAAGCACGGTCTTGTTCTGAGCTGACTCAAAGCACGGTCTTGTTTTGAGCTGACTCAAAGCACGGTCTTGTTTTGAGCTGACTCAAAGCACAGTCTTGTTTTGAGCTGACTCAAAGCACGGTCTTGTTCTGAGCTGACTCAAAGCACGGTCTTGTTTTGAGCTGACTCAAAGCACGGTCTTGTTTTGAGCTGACTCAAAGCACGGTCTTGCTTTGAGCTGACTCAAAGCACGGTCTTGTTTTGAGCTGACTCAAAGCACGGTCTTGTTTTGAGCCGACTCAAGCACGGTCTTGTTTTGAGCCGACTCAAAGCACGGTCTTGTTTTGAGCCGACTCAAAGCACGGTCTTGTTTTGAGCTGACTCAAAGCACGGTCTTGTTTTGAGCTGACTCAAAGCACGGTCTTGTTTTGAGCTGACTCAAAGCACAGTCTTGCTTTGAGCTGACTCAAAGCACGGTCTTTGAGCTGACTCAAAGCACAGTCTTGTTTTGAGGCGCCTCAAATCTACATCAAGGATTTGCAGTGGGAGAGACGCGACGGGGGTGGGGGGTGGGGGGGAGGGAGGGAGGGAGGGAGGGAGGGAGGGAGGGAGGGAGGGAGAGAAAGAGTGTGCGTAGGCGTAGAAAATTCTGTGTCATAGAAAATCATCTGCTACAAATGGGAAAATCTTGCATTCACATCTGTTACACCTCGTTTTACTCACATCTGTTGCAGTCTTTAACCCCTTATGCTCACATCAATTGCACTTTCAAAACTCTTGAAACCACATCTGTTACAACTTAAAAACTCTTACAGCCACATCTCTTACAACTTTTAATCTCTTATACCCACGTCTGTTACAAATTCTAAACTATTATACCCACCCCTGTTAGAAACTTTTAGATTCTTATACTCACATCGGTTGCAAGGTCGGTGACAACAAATTCCATCTCAATGCTTCCGGCAGGGATGCGAACACTGGTGAGATACAGAGGGCGGCGGGGGGGGAGGGGGGAGGGGGGGGGGGAGGGGGGGGGGTCGGAGGGGAGGAAAGGAGCAGAGAGACGAAGACACGAAGCGAGCACTTGGCAACAAAGAAACGCAATGAAGCAAAATAAAAGCGCGGAATGCTGAACAAAAAATACCTTTCGGAATGTCTCACTCAGAAGCGAACAGGGCAAACTCGAAATGCCAAATCATGTGGATTTCCTCCGCCTCCAACTTCTAGCCCCTCGCCCCTCGCCCCTCGCCCCTCGCCCCTCGCCCCTCGCCCCTCGCCCTTCACACCAACCCTCCTCGCGCCAGCCCTCATTCTCTCCTCTCACATTTCCTCCTCTCCAATCTCCCAACTTCCCCCTCTGTCACCTCTCACATTCCTTCCTCCCCATTCAACAACCCTCCTCTCTCCTCTCACCTGCACTCCTCTCTCCTCTCACCTGCACTCCTCTCTCCTCTCTCCTCTCTCCTCTCTCCTCTCTCACCTCCCCTCCTCTCTCCTCTCACCTCCCCTCCTCTCTCCTCTCTCACCTCCCCTCCTCTCTCCTCTCTCACCTCCCCTCCTCTCTCCTCTCTCACCTCCCCTACTCTCTATCCTCTCACCTGCCCTCCTTCACAAGCCCTCCCAGCCTGAACCGGTTGGCAGACGAGTTTTCTGCAAACTTCTCAAGTGCCTGAAAGGGAGGTGCGAAGGGACGTGATATGAGCGAGATCAGTGAGTGGGTGTGACATGGAACAGCAGCAGCAGCAGCAGCAGCACCAGAAGCAGCAGCCAGCCCACCCAAGGTTCCTCCGCCAATCATAAGTGTTGGCCTTTTAAACACCTCCTCAGAAACAGTAAACACAACGCACCTGCGTGGGTGTTATATAGAACATCAGGTTCTCTTGAAACGAGTTCATCGCGAATATTGCCAGCCCAGCCACCGCCCCTCCGCCAATCACAAGCGTCCACATGCGCTGCGTCTGCCGCGCCCGGGCCCTCGCCCCTATGTCCACATGCACTGCACCTGCCCCCGCCCCTGTCCCAACTTTTGCCTTCGCGCCCACAGCGCGTACGCGTCCCGCACTCGTTTTCAGCCATCTCAGACCCCCAATGTCCAGATTCACTGCACCAGAATGTGCGGCGGCTGGGGATCTGGTGGGGAGGTTGAGCATGCCGCGAGCGATAGCATCTACAGGACGGCTGACAACTGCTGTTCGTGCCGCTGCTGCTGTTTGGATGCTAGCATCGTAACGCGCCGCTGCGGCTGCTGTGTTTGCTGTTGTTTGTCGGGTGCAGGCGTTACATGCCCCTGCTGCTGCTGCTGCTGTGACTCCTGCTCGTGTTGTTGCTGATGATGACGATGACAAATGAACTCGCGTTAAAAGGATCCTTGCAGCGTGTCGCACGCTGTCCGAGCGACCCATTATAATGATCGAAAGAGACCAAAAGCTTACAGTCAACGTCAATGACTGGACACAAAACGTTTGACTAGCAGATCTGCCTTGACCAGATCCGGTATGTCGATTGGATATGCGTTGAAAAGATCTGGTCCGTTGATTGGATCTGCTCGCTGATTCCACAGATAGCACGAGACGCCGATCAGATATGCTTGATCTCGAGTCGCTGGATCGAGATTGCGATGGCGGCGGATCTAGCGAACTTGGATGAAGACGCGTGGCGGATGAGAGAGGTATACAGGCACCTTGGGAATGCTCGGCTATACCGTACGCGTGCGCTATGTTATCATTCGCACACCCTAGTCGCGCTGCATGAATGAAGCCTGCGACACTGAAGGGACCCAGCGAGAACAGAAAGAACCCCGCTGCGTGAAAGGTTTGTGTTCGGATGATTGAGGGTCATCCTTCGCCACTTGCTTCCCCATCAAGGGGCTTTCGATAATGACGACGGAGCGGACGAAAGCTGCGAATTTTTCAAGGTTGCGAAAACGAACAATCGGACCAATCAGACAATTTAAAGAAGGTAACCCTAGACCGTAAAAAAAAATTCTGTTCGCCTGTCTGCGGTTTGAGTTCGCAAAGCAGGTTCTCGCATCACCAGGGATGGAGGGTAGGGGGGAGTCAATTGTGCCTGCTAGAACCCTCGGCACTTCCATTCTGCTATGGACCACCTACTGATCCGCATCCGACGGTCGACAGAGGGGTCAGGCAGCGAAACGCGAGCGCTGAACGGTGCGCCTAGCACTTCATCGCTTTCTTCAACTGCAAGTTCGAAGCAGCCGGCGGCTGCTGGGGAGCTTGCACGCCGTGCATTCCCTTTCTGCCAAAGCGTTGCGGTGTGTTTGTTAACGCGTGAGTAGATTAATTCGTCACGTCGTTTCACCTTTACATGATTTTTTCTCGAGATTGGCCGTTATTAGAAAGCGAACCTCCAAAACGCAGTCGAGATGGGTCATTTGAGGGTCCTGGCGGGTTCCCTGTGGGGAGTCCATCCGATGTTTCGAATTGAAAACAGTCCTTTTGGAGTTCAATACAGGGTCCTTCTCGTTGTCACGTCGCTTGACGTTCACTGGACATTTCTCTAAATTCGTCCGTTTTCTTGCAGTTATCTCATGGAGCCTGCTCACGACATTATTTTCTTGTCGCTTCAGTCATTCGCAAGAACCTGTACAAGTCGCCAGTGGAAAGGGGAACTCACGGCAGGGGGAGCTTCACTTCCAGTGGAAGGGCGAGCTCACGGCAGTCACGCTACCAGAAGGCCGGCTTTTGGCAGTTTTCCAAATAGACAGCAACGACTGCATCGACGAGAACATTGCCGAAAGCCAGATTAGTTTCGCGAAATGCGGATTCGTTTTGCGGGGAGAAACGTCATGGAGCCACGCTACTTTCGATACGTCTCAAAACGCTACTTTTATAACGTCATGGAGCAACGCTACTTTCGTGTACTTCGAGGGCCGCCAAGCCATCCATGCAATCTGCTCGCGTGCCAACGGAACGGATGGATCCGTCGAACCCAGCCTGCTGCGGATCTATTACGACACACACAGCGTAGATCTCCTCGTGCGCAAGCTTCATCAGGCATCCTGGGATAGATTAGTGTATGCTGCAGCAGCTGAACCAGAAGGCCTATATGTCTGGGCGAAAGGCATTACTAACCTTCAGAACAGGAGTCACGGTCAGGTCAGGTGCATGGTGGATGGAGCTGAGACAGCTCCTTTGATACTCTCCCAGGAGATTGCACTCTGCCCCATTCCTCAAGCCAACTCTATACGTTCAGCATGTGGCTGCCTCAACACTCCAGTCACGCTTTCAGTGCGTGGATCACCTTTACCCTCTGTAGCTTCTGTTTGTAGGCTCAACTCCGCACTCAATTTTATCAGCCTGGTATCCGGTGAGCCACCACAGGCAGCCAATCACAGCGAAGACACCACAGCCACTACAGCCAGCCAAAGCGGACGCAGTGTTCTTCAAAACGGGTATTCCCACACCAGCCGTGTGCCATCCATCGGCGATCGCCCCATGAAGCAGTACTACCTGTGTGCATGCACAATGGTCCTTGACAGCGCAAAGTTTATAAAGGAGTGGCTGCTGTACCATGCATTTCTTGGTGTGGAGCATTTCATTGTGTATGACAACGGCAGTGAAGACGGGCTTTGGGAGTCCATCAAAGAAGCTGAGGGGACCGGCCGTGCTCGAGGCTTTCAAATTTCAGCCACTATACGTAGCTGGCCCTGGCTCAAGTCACAGGAAGGCGGCTTCTCTCATTGTGCTCTGCAAGCCAAGAAGCTCTGCACGTGGGCCATGTTCATAGATGTGGACGAGTTCCTCTTCCCGGCACGGATGGTGAAGGAAATTGACTCACGGAGTCTGTTTGCAACTGGAAGTCAGTACGCCGTTCTTCTCAACAAGTTTGTGAGAGATATGGTTAAGGGGCATGCTGCAGCAAAGAAGGCCGCAGGTAGAAACGAGTCGTGTCAACAGCTTGGGCAGATTGCGCTACCCAGCCTTTTGTTTGGCCCATCAGGACATCAAGAACACCCAGAAAAGGGAGTTGTATCTGGGTACACATGCAGGCTGAAGCTTCCTGATCGTCACAAGTCAATTATCCTCACTGAAGCCATAGCTCCTCCGTTACGCAACGTGATACACCACTTCACAATCTTGGAGCATCAGTACTGCACAGCACATGTGGGCAATAAGCGTGCTGCTCTTTTCCACTACAAGTACCAGGCATGGCCGGAGTTCAAGACCAAGTTCAGGAGGAGAGCTTCCACCTTTGTGCCTGATTGGATGCAGATGGATAGAATGCAGTCCCAGGATCGGGTTCCTGGCTTGGGTGTTGAGCCAGTTGAGCCTGCTGACTGGAAGGATCGGTACTGTGAGGAGGAAGATCCAAGACTGAAGAGAATTTTGGCACAAATCTTATCAGCAACTTCCCCCTGGCGCTTAGCGAATGTGTTCAATGTTATGCGCCGCACCTTAGAGAAATTGTTTCTTTCGTGTGGACTTGTCTGATCATGTATACTAAGGCATGTTAATCTCTATTATGGTATATGGGAAGATGGTTCATGCACCGGTATTACGATGATGCTTTCCAGCACGAATCACCACCTTCCAACCAAACCTCGGCATTGGTTACCATATACCGACCATTTTTTTCTATTACTACATTTGCGAAAACCCACACTATACCGTCTTGTGAAGAAAGTGCTTCAACTAATTTGGAGATGTTTGTCAGACTTCGTTCGAGCAGCCTTCCTTCAAGAACTGTTAAATAACCTAATTCAACAATTTTCCAAGACAGAGTTTGAGGTGCACTTTCTGATTAAAGACGGAATCGTCATAAAGACGCCACCCCTACATTGTTCCTGCTGGGATTACCCCCATTTATGTTGCTCTGTGCGGATCTGCTTCCTCTTCCGTGACTTCCCTAGCAGACATTCTTCTGTCCGTCCGTCCCGGCATATTTTGCTTCCGTTTCGTTTCGACTTATGCGACTATGGGCGCGTCAGACCTAGTTCGCTCTCGGTTCAGTATCTGCGGTGGAGAAAAGTTCTGTGCATTCTAGAGCGGTTTGCCTGCTCCACCGCTTTGAACCGTCACTTACCAGTCTGAACAGTGATTCATGAGCTGGAAATAAACTGGTGTGACACGCCCTAATTCACAACTGCGCTGCTGTTCACCATTCTGATACATCCTAGAGTAGTTTACCCCAGAACCGCAATCTAGGGATCTACCGTGGGGGATGTCAGATGTGAGTCTCAGCTGTCGCAGCAACATCGAGTAACTCGCACGTTTTCGCCTCTCACGGACCTCTTTTAACCCATTTAGAGACGATTAAAGCTTGTATAAGTATAGCAGATTCTTAGACCATGTCTGGTCTTGGCGTTTTAGCGCGGCGGTTTTCAGGCAGAAGGGCCCGCCAATGCTTTAAAAACACGTGGGAGGTCTCAGCTTGCGGGTTTGACTGTACGCGTGGTTCTTTAGGGTTGGATGGTCTTGTCAGCAGCAACGGCGACATCAGCATTTGTAACATTGTTACAAGGCAAACCGGCAGAGACAGCAGCAGCAGCATCCCTGTGGTTCCCAGTGGTAACATTCCTATGGCTAGAAGCAGCTTGAATGTGGACACACAAATTTTGACTAACAATACTGCCTGGGTCTCAGCTGACGTGGCCATGACAATAACTGACGTGGCCAACTGCAGTAAAGAACCTTGTCGCCACCAACCCTGGGCTTTGGCAAATTCCATGCCGCTTTGCAAGCCTCGTCACTGGGCTGTTTCCGAACCTCTTGCACATGCTGCCACAGTAGGCTCGGTTGCTGCTTCAGTTCAACTGCATGGATTGGGTCGGAATAGGACAATTGCGGCTGGTGGAGATGGAATCAGAAGGAGGGGCATTTATGGCGGGCTCTCTGTTGCAAGATTCAGCTCATCAAAAGGTGAGAAAGGTTGGACTGTATTGTTTTTTAGTAGACTAAAAAACCGTAATGTATTCGTATATGGTCTGTTGAAATGTTGCGGCTGTTTTGAACCGCACTGGCGTCGCAGTGGCAACGTCGCAGTGGCGGCTGCTCCATTACTTTACTCCTTGTTTCTGTCACTGCATCTGCTCATTCTCTGTGCAGGTCGGCGCAGTGGAAAGGCTGCAGTGCAGCAGACGAGGGACGGAAAGGCAGGGAGAGGAGGGAAGGTGGAGGAGAAGAGTGAGGAGGACCTAGTCACGCGGAAGCAGCAGCTGCTGGAGCAAGCAGTTCAGGAGGTATGGTGGTGATTAATAGGTATGCTGTTGATTTAATAGGTGTGGTGGTGTGAGAGATATGGTCGAGACGATCTAGTGGTGTGTGGAGGTATGATGGTAACCTGTTTTGAAGAATGCATGCAACAGGAGGCACGAGCAAGCGGTTCACGAGGTAAGGCTTAGGATTCAGGGTTGCGAGCAAGCTGTGAGCCAAGTTTGGGCAGTAGGCTGTGATGCCCCTCCCCTCCCCTCACGCTTTCCCGTGCTCCTGCCGCTCACGCTTCCCATACTCTCCACCTCCGTTGTCTCCCCCTCCCTCCGCACCTGTGCAGCTGCGAGCCAAGTTCGGCCGGGAGGCAGTGATGGTTCTGGGCGGCACTGAGGCGGACTTGGCCGCCCACCGTGTCCCGGTCATCCCCTCAGGCTCCATTGCCCTGGACGCGGCCCTTGGGATTGGGGGCTTCCCTAGAGTGAGTCATGAGTCACGAGTGTGTGTGATTGTGTGGGTGGGCACTGGGGCAATGCAATGCATGGTGCACAAATGCTGATCTGGCGCCCTCAGGCTCCATTGCCCTGGACGCGGCCCTTGGGATTGGGGGCTTCCCTACAGTGAGTCACGAATGTGTGTGGGCTAGGCATTCGTCCAGGGGAATATGGTTACAATCGGGCACTCGCTGAAGCACCAATACCAACTTGACCGCCCACCGCGCGTCCCGGTCATCCCCTCAGGCTCCATCGCCCTGGATGCCGCCCTTGAGATCCAGGGCTTCCTTCGGGTGAGTCCCTTTGTGACTGCATGTTTTTTTTTTTTTTCAAGTTGCTTCGAATCCCCTCAGCTCAGGCTCCATTGCTCTGGACGTGGCCCTTGGGTTTGGGGGCTTTCCACACACTCAGCAATCAACGTTTCCTTTTTTTTCCTGTCACTCTATTTATGCCTCTCTACCTTGGGTTGGGCTCCCCCAGGGCCGAGTGGTGGAGATCTATGGGCCCGAAGCAACAGGCAAGACAACCCTGGCGCTGAGGTGACTTTGAGTCAACTCAAAAGTCAACATTCTTTCTTTCTTTCTTTCTTTCACCCCTGGCATGTATTCGCCTGTCACTCTGTGCCTCTGGACCTTGGGCTCCCCTCCCCAGGGCCGAGTGGTGGAGATCTATGGGCCCGAAGCAACAGGCAAGACAACCCTGGCGCTGCACGTGGTTGCAGAGGCACAGAGGAGAGGCGGTGAGTTGGAGGAGGCAGGGGCGTGGGGAGGGGAAGAGGGGAGTTGTGAAGGAAACGGGCATGACATGATAACTCTGAAGGGAAGGGGCAACCCTGGTTTGCTGGTTCATTGTGTTGTGAACCCAACGGGCAATCAAGACAACCCTGGCACTGCAAGCGGTGGCAGAGGCACAGAAGCGAGGAGGTGAGAGGAGGAAGGGGTGAGGGGGGAGGAAGGTGGGGGGGATTAAGAAAGGATTTGTAGTGAAGGCAACGGGCAAGACAATTCTGGCGCTGCACGTGGTGGCAGAGGCACAGAAGAGAGGCGGTGAGTGAAGAGGGGAGGGTGTGTGTGTTCATGCGTGTGTAGTGCTGGAAACATTGTGACGATGAGAGTGGCGCTGCACGTGGCAGCAGAGGCACAGAAGAGAGGAGGTGAGTCGGGTGAGGAGTGGGTGTGCGTGTGCACGTGCGTAACATAGGCACTGGCACATTGTGACTAGTTGTATTGTACTCAAGGCATCAGAAGACATGGCGCACATTGCAACGAGGTGACTTTTGAGTCGACTCAAAAGTCACCTCGTGACAATGGCACACGACACATTTTGAGTATTGTACTGAAGGCATCAGAAGACATGGCGCACATTGCCCTGCATACGTGTGCCTGTTTCATTATTTCTTTTTTAGAATTCTCAAGATTGGTTTTGAGAATTCTGAAAAACAATCTGCAGCGACATGGCGCACATTGCCCTGCATACGCGTGCCTGTTTGATTATTTCTTTTCCCCTCAACCCCTTGAAAACTCCACCTTCAGATGTGGCTTACTGTGTGAATGCAATCCCTCAATATTAACCTTGCCAGGGCGTTGGGTATGGATATGACTCGCGTGCACCTCTCTGTCTCCTTCATTGTCCCTCCTTGCTTTCACTTCACCTTGCCTGGGAGGGAGGGAGGGGAGGGAGGGAGGGGAGAGGGAGGGAGGGAGGGAGGGAGGGAGGGAGGGAGGGAGGGAGGGAGGGAGGGAGGGAGGGAGGGAGGGAGGGAGGGCACTGGGAGTGGATATGACTCGCATGCACCTCTCTCGATCCCTTTTCGTTCCTTCTAAACCCCACCTCCAGGAGCGGCCTACTTTGTGGATGCGGAGCATTCGCTCGACGTTGACCTTGCTAAGGCGCTAGGAGTGGACATGACTCGCATGCACCTGTCTCAGCCCGACAGTGGGGAGACAGGCCTTGCCCTGGTGGATCAGAACGTCAGGAGCGGCGCTTATGACGTCATTGTGGTCGATAGTGTGAGTGCTGTGCTGTGGGGTTCCGATTTTCAGGTTTAGGGTCGGGTATGGGGTTTCAAGTTTAAGGCTCTGGGGGTGGAGTAGACACGACTTGCATGCACCTGTCCCAGCCTGACAGTGGCGAGACTGGCTTGGCTCTGGTGGATTAAAACGTCAGGAGCGGCGCTTATGACGTGGTTGTGGTCGACAGTGTGAGTGATTTCGAGTGGTGTAGAATCAAGGTTTACAGTTGCAGGCTTAGATTAAAGGCCCTGGGAGTGGATATGACTCGCATGCTCCTGTCACAGCCCAACAGTGGGGAGACCGGATTGGCTCTGGTGTGGTGGGTCAGAACTTAAGGGGTGGCGCCTATGACATCATTGTGGTTGATAGTTTGAGTGCTTTCGAGTTGTGGGTTTCAGGATTATGGTTTACGAACAGTGGGGAGACAGGTCTTGCCCTGGTGGATCAGAATGTTAGGAGCGGCGCCTATGACGTGATTGTGGTTGATAGTGTGAGTGGCGTAGGGATCTGGGATATAGGTTTTCGGAGTGGCTTTGACTCTTGAGTTCTCAAAAGGTTTTCGGAGTGGCTATGACTCTTGAGTTCTCAAAAGGTTTTCGGAGTGGCTATGACTCTTGAGTTCTCAAAAGGTTTTCGGAGTGGCTATGACTCGCATGCACCACTCTTAGCCTGACTGTGGCGAGACGGGCTTGGCTCTGGTGGATCAGAACGTCAGGAGCGGCGCCTACGGCGTCATTGTGGTTGATAGTGTGAGTGGTGGGGTGGACATTTAGATGTTAAATGTTTTGGCAAGGTTTAGGGTTTTGTCTTCTACCCTTCTTCTTTCCCCCCTTCTCTTCAATCATCAATCCTCCCTTGTTCTTACCACAGCTGGCAGAACTTGTACTGCACGCGGGAGGAGCTGGAGGGAGAGATGGGAAACTCTTTCATAGCCCCGCAGGCGCGCATCACTTGGTGATTTCAATATCTCATTGGCCTCACTTGGCCCCTCTTGCCCCTCCATGCTCCACTCGCTTCCATGTTGCTTGCTTGTGCAACACAGGTGGCAGCACTCGTACCACAAGCAGAGCTGGAGGGGGAGATGGGCGACTCGTTTGTAGCCCTGCAGGCGCGCATGATGTCTCAGGCACTGCGGAAGCTGTCAGGGGCGCTCAACCGCTCCCAAGCGGTCCTCATATTCGTTAACCAGGTGGGTGCAGTGCAGTGGAGATGGGTAGGTGGGAGGCTCTTCTCCCCCTCCCCTTCGTTGCCCTGCAGGCGCGCATGATGTCGCAGGCACTGCGGAAGCTGTCAGGGGCGCTCAACCGCTCGCAGGCTGTGCTCATATTCGTCAACCAGGTGGGTTCAGTGCGGTGGGAATTCCATGCAGGTGGGTGCAGTGTGGTGGCGCATGGTGCAATGCGGTTGGGATGGGAGGTAGGTGATAGTCGTCCCCAACAGATAGCCCTGCAGGCGCGCATGATGTCGCAGGCGCTGAGGAAGTTGTCAGGGGCGCTCAACCGGTCCCAGGCCGTGCTCATATTCGTCAACCAGGTGGGTGAAGTGCGGTTGGGATGGCAGGTGGGGGGTGCAGTGCGGTGGGAATGGCAGGGAGGAGCGCTCCTTGCCACCAGATAGCCCTGCAGGCGCTCATGATGTCGCAGACGCTGCGGAAGCTGTCAGGAGCGCTTGACCACTCCCAGGCGGTGCTCATCTTTGTCAACCAGGTGGATGCAGTGGTTGGAATGGTAAGTGGGTGGGTGCAGTCTGGTGGCAGATGGTGCAGTGCGGTGGGGATGGCAGGAGGGAGAGATGGGATGGGTGACTACTCCTCACCTGATAGCCCTGCCTGCAGGCAAGTGCGCATGATATTGCCAGGATGAGGAGATTGAGGCTCTGAGAAGGAGGCTGTCAGTGGGGGGTTCTCAACCGATGACAAGCAAGCAGTGCTCGTATGCGTCAACCAGGTGGGTTGAATGACAGGGGGGAAAAACCAGGTTAAATTGTATGCTGCGTGTGGTTTGAATGACAGTTTTGCTCTGACTAGCCCCCACTCCAAGCCCCCACATTCTTCCCCGTGTCCAAATGCACCTGTTCAGGTGCGCTCGAAGCTCATGCTGAGACAGCCCGGCATGGCCATACCCGTGGAGGTGACGTCGCGGGGTAGTACCCAAGTGACGTCGCAGGATAGTACCCTAACTTCCTTTCCCGCCCCCCACCCTCCCTCCTCTCCCTCCTCCCCACCCTTCGCACGGTCTGGTAACCATGTGCAGGTGCGATCGAAGCTCATGATGGGAGGACCGGGCATGGCCATGCCTGTGGGGGTGACATCCAAGGCTGAGTGAATGCTCTTTCCCTAACTCCTTTGCTCCTCCTCCTCTCTCCCCTCCTCTCTCCCCTCCTCTCTCCCCCCTCTCCTCTCTCCCCTCCTCTCCTTCCTCCCCTCTCTCCCCTCCTCTCTCCTCCCCTCTCTCCCCTCCTCCTCTCCTTCCCCTCCTCTTTCCCCTCCTCTTTCCCCTCCTCTCTCCCCTCCTCTCACCCCTCCTCTCTCCCCTCCTCTCTCGTTTTCCATGTGCAGGTGCGGTCGAAGCTAATGATGGGAGGGCCGGGCATGGGCATGCCCGTGGAGGTGACGTCTGGAGGCAATGCGCTCAAGTTCTACGCCTCGTTGCGGCTGCACATTAAACGAGTGGCGCAGCTGAAGCAGGGAGAGAAGGTAGGTTTAGCCCCCCTGTAGCACTCCACAGCACACCTTCACACCTTCTCTCATCCTCTCTCTGACTTAGTGCTTTTCATTTCCTCTCCCTGCCACCACTCTTCACCACTCCTCCATATACCTCCTCACTCTCGGCCCCTCCGTCCGCTCCTCTCCGCCAAATTTGTAACCACATGTGGGTAATGGTCAACAAGAACAATCTCACCCCACCCTTTTGCACAGCAGAGTTTGACATTGAGTTTGGCCACGGGATATCCTGGGAGGGGGAACTCCTAGACTTGGGAGTAAAAGAAGGGTTGCCTTCACTCAACTCCTCCCTCCACTCTTCCCATCCTCTCTCTACCCTCCATCCCCTCACATTCTCTCCTCCTCTCCCTCCCGCCCCTCCCTGCTCCCCTCTTCTCCACCTCAGATTGTTGGTAACCGCGTGCGGGTAACAGTCAACAAGAACAAGCTCGCGCCGCCCTTCCGCACGGCGGAATTCGATATTGAGTTTGGCCACGGGATATCCCGGGAGGGGGAACTGCTAGACTTGGGTGTAAAAGAAGGGTTGCTCACGCTCTCTGGTGCGTGGTACAAAAAAGGTGGTGAAGTGATTGGGCAAGGGAAGGAAGGTGCGAGGAGCTTTTTGAAGGAGAATGTGGAGGTTGCGAGGGAGCTTGAGGAGGGGATTAGGGAGAGGTTGGGTGGGCGGAAGAGAGAGGGTGATGGGGAGGGTAAGAAGGGTGTGGTGGAAGGAGGGGAAGTGGAGGAAAGTGGAGAGGGAAGGAGGGAGGATGGAAGTGGGGAGGAGGGAGAAGAGGTTGCTTTGGATTCTGAGGAAAGCAGTGCTGTCACTGGAGTGTCTGGTTAGAATGTGCAGTGCAGTCTAAAGGTGATAGAATTTGCGTGTGTAACATGTACCGTACCATGTTCAGGTACGTGCACTAATATTTGGTGCAGCATTGTTTGTAGCATTAATAGATAGATATCCTGTCCTCTATAGCATATGTTCCACCCATCATCCATGGTAGAGACAGATTGAAATATGGACTGTTGCTTGGTCGCTCACAAATAACAAAACCACTTGAAGTATAATTAGAGAATCTACCGTACGTGTACCTTCGCACAACAAATTAAAGCAGCAGTATACATTTGGCAGCACTGTTGTTTCTGTACAGTGTGCCAGGCGATTTCGCCTCAACGAAAATGTAAACAGAATAGCGAGAGTGTTGGCGAAAAACTGGAGCACTTCCGTTGTAAGACGAGCAGGGTTGGGTAGGTTGTGGGTCACAAAATGGGAAACACCTCCCGTCACCGAACTTGCCACATCACACACTACGGGGAATACGCATCTAGTAGCTACTAGTTTAGGTACTAGGCAGCAGGCCGGAGGGTGCTAGGCCAGCAGCGCGACCACATACATAGACGCGGGTGAGTATTTAGCCGTGTGCAGAACAGGCGACGCCTGCGAGCGTCACTAGCGCCAGCGATGGTGGCACTCCGTGTGTGTCGTGTCATTCCGCGCGCGTCACTGGCGCCAGCAATGATAGCATTCCGTTAGCGGGACTTGCGCCAGTTACGCTATCATTCCGCGCGCAACACTTGCGCGCGCTGTGCTGGCATCCGCGCGCGGCACTTGTGCGCGCTATGCTGGCATTCCGCGCGCGCTAGCATAGCGCGCTCAGCAGAGCTGCGCTTGCCAGCAAAACGCGCGCCGCAAAGCGGCACCTGCATACCGCGCGGCGCGCCAGCACAGCGAGCGCATGTGACGCTTAGATGCCCCAGCAAACAGCACGCGGTTGCAAGCGCGCGCTCTCCAGCGAAATTCAGTCTAGAAGCGCGCGCGAGCCAGCCATCCTACTGCAGCCACCAGCAACGCATTGCTCGCCTCACGGATTTCTCCAATACACGAAATGCGTAAGGCCGCGTCCATACGTTTGGACTCATTTCCGCCCCTGCTTCCCCTCATTTCCGCCCCTGCTTCCCCTCATTTCCGCCCCTGCTTCCCCTCCTTTCCCCCCACGCATCCCCTCATTTCCGCCCCTGCTTCCCCTCATTTCCGCCCCTGCATCCCCTCATTTCCGCCCCTGCTTCCCCTCCTTTCCCCCCACGCATCCCCTCATTTCCGCCCCTGCATCCCCTCATTTCCGCCCCTGCTTCCCCTCCTTTCCCCCCACGCATCCCCTCATTTCCGTCCCTGCTTCCCCTCCTTTCCCACCACGAATCCCCTCAATTCCCCCCTGCCTCCCCTCCTTTCCCCCCTTGCTTCCCCTCCTTTCCCCCACTTCTTCGCATCCCTTCTCACCCCCTCATTTCCTCTCCGCATCCCTTCTCACCCCATCCTTTCCTCTCCGCATCCCTTCTCACCCCATCCTTTCCTCTCCGCATCCCTCCTCACCCCATCCTTTCCTCTCCGCATCCCTCCACACTCCATCTATCCTCTCAGCATCCTTTCTCTCCCCATCCCTCCTTGCCACCATCCCCTCAGGTTTTGTGGCGCAGTGTCCAGGAAAGGCGACCTGCTGCGTGCACTCTTTGCTTAGTTACTAGTATGCATGGATTGCCTCTGCTTTTACTCGTGACCACTGCTTTGTTTACATACTGTGTTATGGTAGGGAACATGCTACAAAGAGTGTTGAAGTCAGCAACCTGTAATGATGTCACAAAGCACTACGTTCAATAACCAGTTGGTAAAAACACAAACATGAGTTTGATGGCACGATGTGTTGGGTCAGTAAGAAATACCTAAAAGGGGAAAAGAGGGTGTGTTTATGTGCTAATGTTCAAGGCGGAAGATTGAATACTTGGATCGTATAAGGACAGGCCGATTGACCGAGAGGCTTGAAGCTGCTTTGCTCGTAGCCGTTGCCATGCTCCCCTGCCATTCCCATTGCAATCGCAGCCTATCCAAGCCCAGGTTGCAGGCTGTTATGTGCCCTGTGAGGCGTAGGATGTGCAGTCAGGAAAGCACCCCACCTGCAACACAAGCACAGAAATCGAGCAAGGGAATACAATGTGAGGGCTGTAGGAGGTCAGATTCAACTAAGAAAGAAACAAAATGTGGGGGATGGAGAGTGTGGCAGGGGGTGGAGCACTTGGTAAGAGGGGGAGAAGGGTGGGAGGGGGGTGAGAAAATGGGAAACACCTGCCGTAGGGCGAAGGTTGCAGATCAACAGGGGGATAGGGGAATAGGGGATCAGTAGTACTAGTTTAGGTATAGGCAGAGGCGGAGGGTGCTAGGAGAGGGGAGGCACATAGTATAGAGGCGGGTGGTATCCCGTGTAAGAAGGGGAGGTGAGATTGGAGAGTAGGTGGTAGGAGGAGGTGGATGGGGTAGGGTGTGTGTGTGTGAAATTCCGCGCGCGTGCTGGCGACAGAATGAAGCTTGGTTACGTTAGCGAAGGATGGCAGAGTAGGATTGCGAGAAGAATGGGCTGTGCTGGATGGGGGCGCGGGAAGGGAGGGCAGGGGAGAAGGGAGAAGGAGTGAAGAGAGAAGGCTTGCCAGCAAAACGCGCGCCGCAAAGCGGCACCTGCATACCGCGCGGCGCGCCAGCACAGCGAGCGCATGTGACGCTTAGATGCCCCAGCAAACAGCACGCGGTTGCAAGCGCGCGCTCTCCAGCGAAATTCAGTCTAGAAGCGCGCGCGAGCCAGCCATCCTACTGCAGCCACCAGTAACGCATTGCTCGCCTCACGGATTTCTCCAATACACGAAATGCGTAAGCCGCGTCCATACGTTTGGACTCATTTCCGCCCCTGCTTCCCCTCATTTCCGCCCCTGCTTCCCCTCATTTCCGCCCCTGCTTCCCCTCCTTTCCCCCCACGCATCCCCTCATTTCCGCCCCTGCTTCCCCTCATTTCCGCCCCTGCATCCCTCATTTCCGCCCCTGCTTCCCCTCCTTTCCCCCCACGCATCCCCTCATTCCGCCCCTGCATCCCCTCATTTCCGCCCCTGCTTCCCCTCCTTTCCCCCCACGCATCCCCTCATTTCCGTCCCTGCTTCCCCTCCTTTCCCACCACGAATCCCCTCAATTCCCCCCTGCCTCCCCTCCTTTCCCCCCTTGCTTCCCCTCCTTTCCCCCACTTCTTCGCATCCCTCTCACCCCCTCATTTCCTCTCCGCATCCCTTCTCACCCCATCCTTTCCTCTCCGCATCCCTTCTCACCCCATCCTTCCTCTCCGCATCCTCCTCACCCCATCCTTCCTCTCCGCATCCCTCCACACTCCATCTATCCTCTCAGCATCCTTTCTCTCCCCATCCCTCCTTGCCACCATCCCCTCAGGTTTTGTGGCGCAGTGTCCAGGAAAGGCGACCTGCTGCGTGCACTCTTTGCTTAGTTACTAGTATGCATGGATTGCCTCTGCTTTTACTCGTGACCACTGCTTTGTTTACATACTGTGTTATGGTAGGGAACATGCTACAAAGAGTGTTGAAGTCAGCAACCTGTAATGATGTCACAAAGCACTACGTTCAATAACCAGTTGGTAAAAACACAAACATGAGTTTGATGGCACGATGTGTTGGGTCAGTAAGAAATACCTAAAAGGGGAAAAGAGGGTGTGTTTATGTGCTAATGTTCAAGGCGGGGAAAATTGAATACTTGGATCGTATAAGGACCGGCCGATGACCGAGAGGCTTGAAGCTGCTTTGCTCGTAGCCGTTGCCATGCTCCCCTGCCATTCCCATTGCAATCGCAGCCTATCCAAGCCCAGGTTGCAGCTGTTGTTATGTGCCCTGTGAGGCGTAGGATGTGCAGTCAGGAAAGCACCCCACCTGCAACACAACACAGAAAGAAATCGAGCAAGGGAATACAATGTGAGGGCTGTAGGAGGTCAGATTCAACTAAGAAAGAAACACATAAGTGTGGGGGACCTGGAGGGGCAGGGTGTGAGCAGAGCGCCCTTGGTAGAGGAGGGGGTAAGAAGAGGTAGGAGAGGGGAGGTGAGAAGAATGCCCTGGTAGGGGGATGGGAGGTGAGCAAAGAGTGCCTGATAGGGCTAGGAGAGGTGGTAGGGGAGGGAGATGAGAAGGGAGTAGGTGGTAGGGGAAGGGGAGGTCAGATGGGAGTATGTCGTATGTGGTAGGGGGAGGGGAGGCAACGATGTGAGTAGGTGGTATGGGGAGGCGTGGTGGGCTGTGAAATCCCGTGGTAAGGGGGGGAAAGGGGAGGTGAGATTGGAGTAGGTGGTAGGGGGAGGGGGAGGGGAGGGAGATGGAGTAGGTGGGGGTAGGTGGGAGATGCATGTTGAAATTTCCCATGGCAATGCCGCTGTTGCTTGGGAGGTGACGACAAGAGAATCGAAAGGGGCTTGGTTACAGGTTTAGCGGAAGGGAAGGATGGCAGTGAGGATTGCAAGAGGAGAGAATGGCTGGAGGAGTGCGTAAGGATGGAAGATGGGGGACAGGAAGGCAGGGAGAGAAGGGAGAGAAGGGAGGGAAGGGAGAGAAGGGAGGGAAGGGAGTGAGTGAAGGGAGAGGAAGAGACATGGGAGAGAAGGGAGGGAAGGGAGTGAAGGGCGAGGAAGGGAGACACGGAGAGAGAGGGAGAGAAAAGGAGGGAACAGAGAGACTTCTATCGAAGGGAGAGAAGGGAGGGAAGGTAGTCAAGGGAGGCAAGGGATGAAAGGGAGTGAAAGGAGAAGCAGGAGAGATGTCGGGAGGGAGAGACGAGGAAGGGTAGGGATGAAATGGAAGGTAACGGATAAGATACGGTGGGGGGGAGGAGAAGGGCGGGAAGGGAGCGAAGGTATTGAAGGGAGAGAAGGGCGGGAAGGGAGCGAAGGTATTGAAGGGAGAGAAGGGCGGGAAGGGAGGGACGGGAGGGACGGGAGGGACGGGAGGGACGGGAGGGACGGGAGGGACGGGAGAGAAGGGAGAGAAAGGAGAGACAGGAGATTGCATGGAGGGATGAGAGGGAAGGGAGAAAAGGGAGAGAAGGTAAGGGGGGAGAGAAGGGAGGGAAGGGAGAGAAGGGAGGGAAGGAAGGGAGGGAGGGAAGGGAGGAAGCGAGGGAAGGGAGACAGGGAGGGAAGGGAGAGACTGGAGAGAAGGGAGGGATTGGAGGGAAAGGAGGGAAGGGAGGGAAGGGAGAGAAGGGAGGGAAGGGAGAGAAGGGAGGGAAGGGAGAGAAGGGAGGGAAGGGAGAGAAGGGAGGGAAGGGAGAGAAGGGAGGGAAGGGAGAGAAGGGAGGGAAGGGAGAGAAGGGAGGGAAGGGAGAGAAGGGAGGGAAGGGAGAGAAGGGAGGGAAGGAGAGAAGGGATGGAAGGGAGAGAAGGAAGGGAAGGGGGTCGGGCGACGGACAGGGGAAAAGGGAGGCGGCGGGAAAATGGGATCGGGCGGCGGGAATGCGCATCGGGCGGCGGGAAAGGGGAAGCGGGCGGCGGGAAGGCGCATCGGGCGGCGGGAAAGGGGGAAGAGGGCGGCGTGGGAACGGGAATCGGACGGCGGGAAGGGGCGGACGGGCGGCCCGCCTGGAATCAATGGGCGGGAAAGGGGATTCAGCGGCGCGGAGTGAGATTCGGGCGGCGGGGAAAGGGGAACCGGGCGGCGGGAGGGAACATGAATCGGGCGGCGGGAACATGAATCGGGCGACGGGAAGGGGGGTAGTAGGGCGACGGGAAAGGAAAATCGGGCGACGGGAAAGGAAAATCGGGCGGCGGGAAAGAAGAATCGCGAGGCATGACGGGGAATCGGGCGGGGGCGCGAGAACAAGGAGTCGAGCGGCGTTCCGAATCGGGCAGCGTGACTGGGGTTTCATGGCAGCGGGAAAGGGAAATCGGGCGCCGGGAAGGGGGATTAGGCGACGGGAAAGAGGAACTTTGCGTCGGCGAAGGGAAATCGGGCCGCAGGAAAGGGAATGGCTAAGGCGTTCTCACTTTGATGCGGAATGCTCCGTGTATCAGGCGCCGAAAAATAAACAATGGCTCTGTCGGCGTATGACCTATGCGTGAGAAGAGCTATAATCGCAATGGCTTGCACCGCTTTTGGAAGTTACCTTTTTAGTGCTGAGTAAGGACGCCGTGGGTGTGGGCATAGTGGCGAGGAGGTATGTCCTTCAGTATACTTTTGGCTAGGTATAAACTTTTGACGAGTGAGTCAGGTGACTGGGGTTGGGTTTGGACTTGTCGCTGTGTCTGAAGTCGAGGGACCCTGTAATTTGGTTACCACCATGTACCTTTTATAAACTTTTGGACTTTCCCCTGGCAAATGTATACCGCCCCGCTTTAATGTGCTTCCCGAAAATATATAAGGTGACGAGGGAGGCAGTAGCCACCTGGTTCAGCTGGCAACCACATGACCACCTGCAGCAGCCTGGCGAAACACACCTGGCGAAATTCTGTAGCGCCAATTGACTAGTCACGGGGTCCGTGTTCTCTGGTCGAACACCGCCGACATCGGGGGGGTACAGTCCTCCAGGTTCGATTTCAAATTTCAAGCCATGTACCGGGTTTCCTATCGGTGCGGGGCGTTTCGAAGCGGTGAGATTAAAACACCCAAACCACCAGAAGTGCTTGCGCACGGATTGTTGTGGCATCACAGGCTGAGGA